TCTGGTGGGAGTCACAGGGGAGGCCAGTGGCCAACGGCCGAGTCTCCACTGATACCCCTCCCGGCTCCTGGAGCCCCAGAACAGGACGCGAGGAATGAGTGACATCAGGAAAGGTGAGCAGTTCCTGTGACGCTAGGGCAGGGCCTGACCCCACTCTGGATGTCAGCCTCAGTCGGCCAGCTCAGAAGACCGGGCAGAGGTACGGCCCCTGGCCCAAGCACCAGCAGGCACCCCGGGTCCAGCCAATGCCACCCGACTGATGAGGTCTGCCCAGGAGATGGAAGTGGGGGCCTGGGGGGAACCTAGGAAGTGGTAGGGTCACGGGTCTCTACAGAGGGGTTTCCACTGGAGCCTAGAGATGGCAGCTACCCGAGAGCACACCCCCCGCCCTGGGAAGGGGGCTCTGGTGGCCAGGTGGGCAGCTGGACCCTGGACCTTAGGAGGCCTGGGCAGTGGGGACAAGGGTGTTAGCAGGGGGCCGTCTCTGACCTGGCCACTTGGCAGGACATCAAGGACCCTCCCACCATACGATGCCCTGGACTCACAGCTGGTACCCCATTGCCGCTGGCCCCGGGTCATGCCTGCTGGCCGGCCAGCAGGGTCCACCGGGCAGGGCTCAGCTGGCCATGGTGCTGGGTGACGCCCAGGGCTGGGGAGGAGCCAGGAGCCAGGGTGGCCATGGGGACCGGACAGAGGTTGACTCTGTCCTCTGAACACCGAACCTCCATGGCCCTGCCGGCGGGACAGGCGCCCAGGGAGGGCCCTCGTCCAGCTCCCACTTCCCACTAACACAGGGCCTGACCCGGCCCAGTGACCCGAGAAGGAAAAACCCCAGCCCCGGCCCCTCCCTCCTTTGGCATCTGAGGGTCTCGGCGGCCCAGCCCCCGAGGGGGCCCGGCACCCCCGGCTACAGCCAGCCACCCCGTCCCACGCAGAGTGCCGGGCGGATGGCCAGAGCCAGGCTTGAGCCCGGCCAGCAGTGCTGGGTCACCGTGTCCAGCCCTCTGACTGTGTTCCCAGACGGACCCCAGCCTGCACCTCTGGCCCCAGAGGCGAGAGCGGGCAGCCTCCACAGTGAAGGCCAGGCCGATCCCGCTGTGGGGCCTGGTGCGGGCGGCAGGGCGGCGGGGCAGCAGCAGGGGTTGCTTCTGGAGACACTTCACTTCAGAGGCGGAGCTCTGCCCGTGATGCCCCTTCCTGTTCAGTCCCGTTCTCACACGCCCGGGTCCCACCAGCCGCCTGGAGGGGCTGCGGGCACAGGTGGCCATCTCTCCTGGCCTGGCTACTGCCCCACTGCCCCAGGTGTGCGTGTGACGCCAGCTGTTGCAACACCAATGTCATCGCACCAGAGGAGCCCATGAGTCACTGCCCCACAGCAGGGCTGCACCCAAATCCTCCCGAACAAAGGCTCTTGGTCCCCACGGCCCCGGCCCCCGCCCCCGCCGGGTCTGCCCGCATGCACCACAAGACACTCCGGCAGACGCACCGAGGGGCAGGCACGCTAATGGCGGCACACACAGGCACAGGTGTGGGAGTTGCCAATACCCAGGCGGGCTCCCCAGCCTGTGTCCACCCAGCTCCAGGCCCTGGGCAGTGGTCCTTCCCCACCCGGCATCCATGGCTGTGCGGCCACCAGCCCGACTGTCCAGCACGAAAGCCTCCCCAGCTGGACCAATGCCAGCGGGTCTCCCCAGTGCCAAGGATCCTGACCGTGGCCGTTCCTGAGCTCAGGGACTGGCCAGCCAGGGTCTCCAGCCACCGAGGCCTGGACACCTGCTCTGTATTCACTCCCGAGGGTCCTGGTGATTCAGCTCTGCCAAGAAAGCCCAGGCAGGCCGCAGGGCGGAGAGAGAGGACACTCAGAGACCCCCACACGTGTCATCCAGACACCAGGGACCATGGGAGGCTCCACTTGGACCACAGGTCAGGGCGGAGCTCCCAGAGTCACCACCGCAGCCACCACTGGGACACGCGGGGTCAGCACGGCGGGCCCAGGTACGTGCAGACCCAGGGAGAGGTGCACAGCCGCACAGAAGACACGTCCACCCAGGTCCCAACGGGCCCCCTGCACTCCCCACACCCACACACCCTCGGGCCGTTTTGGGTCCTTGGCCCAGGTCACAGGATTCAGAGGGTCTGGGCTGGCTAAGGACAGGGGCCCCGGTGGGGAGAGGCAGCCCAAGGGGCCCTTGGAGCAGATCCCTGCGCCCAGCCCAGGCCTAGCCTGAGGGGACGAAGTCACACCGAGCTGGGCACCGGCCACAGGCGGCCGCAAAGGGCTGCAGGGGGCCGGCGTGTCCTGGCCACACCCTGAGGGCCTCCCCCTCCCCGGAGCCCCAGCCCAGGCCAGGTGGGCAGCCTGTCCTGCTGGCCTCAGCCCTACCCTGTCCCATCCGCAGCCCGCAGAGGGGACCAGGGGCCACCCCTGCCCCTGCCAGCTCCTGCGGGGCGGAGTGGGGGGAAGGGAGGGGGGCTGACAGCTGCGCCCGGACCTGAGAGAACTTCGAACTGCCCTGAGCCAGAGACCCACATTCTTGTCTGCAGTGAAACTGGACAGCAGGCCGAGGGTGCTGACCTGGCTCTGGCCCAACTTGGACACACCTGCCCCCAGCACCCCAGGGCTGCCTCAGCCTCGGGGCCAGGAGGGGCAGTCAGCAGCAGCCCGGCTGTGGCCGGGGACCAGGGCTTGGGAAGCCAGGGCTGGAGTGCTCCCAGGAGGAAGTGTCCTCCCTCACGGGAGCCCCCAGCACAGCAAGTCCCCAGGCCCGGCTGCAGGCAGAAGGGTCAGCCAGAGGTTCTGGGAACTGAGCCTAGAAGGGCCAGCGGGGTCAGCCTAGCACCTGCCGCTGCTTCAGAGCAGGGCTCGGAGTCAGGGCTCAAGCTGAGGCCGCCCAGCGCTGTGCTGGCCACCCCAAAGCCCAGCTCCAAACCCAGAGTCCAGGACAGGGAAAAGAGCCCCGTCCCCAGGCCCCCAACCCGGAACCCCCAGTGAGCCCGAGGGGCAAGAGCTGCTACAACCCACCCCAGGAGCCCCTGCTCAGACTGGGTGGGTGTGACTGTAAGGGCCCAGGGCCCAGGGAGCTTAGCAAACACCCCAGTTTGGGTCCAGCTTCAGGAGATGACGGGGCTGAGAGAAAATGATGCTGCTGGGTCCAGGGCGGGGCCTTTGGGGGCCTCACCCTGCACTGGCCACTTGTCCGCACTGAGAGCACAGCCTGCGTCTTTGAGGGCCACCCCAGCTCGTGCCCCTGGACCCGCCTATAGCAGCCACTGCCGCCCACCCCAGCCCCCCATGTCTTTGCTCCGGCTCTCCCAGCGCCAGGGCCCAGCTGGACACGGCACATTCCAAGGGAATTAGAGCTAAGTGGTTAATGACCTCCCATTAGGGGCAGAAACCGGGAGGAAGAAGAGACAGACGGGAAGTGTGGAGTCGGGCGCCGGGCGCGGGCCCTCCGGCCCTGGCCACCTGCCTGCAGAAGCCCTGGGCGGCCGGCTTGTCCGTCCTCTCCATCTCTCTTCTCCTCATCTCCTGTCTCCCGTCTGTCGCCCCAGCAGGGCCTGGCCCCGACCTCTGTCATCACAGCCCCTGGCAGGTCTGGGTGAGGTGAGACCTGCCCCCTCCCGGGCCGGGCGGGGTGGGGGGACCGGCCGGTGTTGAAGGACAGTCAGGAGAGCCCCGGGGGCGGGGGGGCGGGTGGTCTGGTCCCACCAGTCACCGCCTCAGTGAGTCCTGTACATGGGTGGGAACACAGACTGGTGCCTGCGGCCAAGCTGGGCTCCATACAGCAGTGTCAGGAGGCCTGGGCTCCTCGGCCCACACAGGACCTCGGTGCCAGGGGTGTGGGGGGCGGCCCGCAGCCTCCCCCGACCTCCCAACAGAGACCCCAGTGCGCCACTCACGCCTCCCCCTTGCAGGCGGTGGGAACATCCCTCTCAGACCAGGCCGGCGGCGCCATGAAGCCGAGAACCGCCCCCAGACCCGGGGCCCCTGATGCCACCCAGGGGGAGCGGGGAGAGAGGTGGGGACGGGTCAGTGGCCACGCCCGCCGCTGCACGCACTGGTGCCCTCCCGGCACCAGAGCTTTCCTGCCTCATTACCCAGCGGGCTGCAGGGAGGGTCTGGCGGACTCCACTCCCCACGCCAACCCGAGCTGGCAGACGGACACCCGAGCCCCTGCCCTTCCCTGCTCAGCCTTGGAGACGGGTCTCCGGGCCCCCCTGCGGCGGAGCTGATCCCCCACCCCCAAGCCCCAGTCATGGGCGGAGGGGCCAGGTGCGGCCGCCCACCCAGGGCCCAGGTGCCAACCAGCGATGGTATCTCGGCAGCTCTGCAGAGACCCGGACATCCACAACCAATTTACATTCTTTCGTCTGAGCTTGAGTGGTGCGGGCAGGGGCCGAATCCACAGGACCCACAGGCAGGGCCTCAGCCGCCTGTCCAGGCCACTCTGACCCTGTTGCCGGGGGCAGGGGGCAGCCGCCAAGGAGAAGGTGGTGAGAAGTAAGGTCCCTGGGGGAATGAGGGACGCTGAGGACACCCGGGCCGCGGGGACACCGTCCGCGTCTGGAGGGTGTGAGGCTGGCGGCCAGCACACCTGTCTGCTCCCCACCAGCCCCACGGGGGGCCCCGCCTCGCCCTCTGCTCCCCGACACGCACTGTGCCACTCACCAGCCTCGAGGTCTCCCAGGCCCTGTGAGTGTCCACGGGCTGCTACCCTCTGAGGCTGGGGCGGTCCCAGGCCATGGGCAGGGCCAAGCGGCGGCCTGAACAGACACCTGTCCTTGTCATCAAGGTAAACGTGGCCCCTGGCAGGCACAGGGGCCGTGGGGGGCGCACCCCGGCTGCCAGGGTGCTCGGCCGGAAGCTCCACCTCCAGGGCCAAGCCCGCGCCCGCACCCATGGGTGTCCTGAGGCCACTCCACGGCTGCTTCTGCCCCCGCCCTCCCCCACCCCTACAACGCCGCAGCGACCAGGCGACAGGAAGGGCTGGGGGCTCTTTATTGCTGTGACCCCAGGTTTACCGGAGGGCAGCAGGGTGAGGGTTGCGGCAGCTCCCCCGCAGCCCGTCGGCCCCTCACGTGCCCAGAAGCAGGCCGGAGAAGCTGGAGCTGCTCTGGACGGTGAGGGCTGCGCCGGAGCCATTGTCCACAAAGACGGAGGTGTACTGTCCCGCCTGCAGACACCCACAGTGGACGTTACCACCCACAGGGCCCGGCTGCTGGCCAGGCGACACCCGGCCCGGGCAGCTTGGAGGCCCAGGACTGCCCCCCGCCCCCGCACTGCCCCCCCGCCCCCCGGCCTCACCTGCAGCTGCAGCAGCCCCTGCACGTGCACCGTGAAGACCCTGCCGCCGCTCTCCAGGCCGGAGATGGCCTCCAGGGACCTGGATGCGGGGCCGCAGGGGTGAGGGCACAGTGGCCGTGGGGTGGCGTGGCGTGGCGTGGCGTGGCGTGGCGTGGCGTGGGGTGGGGTGGGGTGGGGTGGGGTGGGCCCCCCCCCGGGGGGCCCCCCCCCCGCTGGCGCCCAGAGACTCGCGTGCTCCTGCCCCGGTGCTCACTGCAGTTCTCTGTGTTCAGGGGAGCCCCCCTCTGTGGGCAAGATGGTCCCCGTGCCCCTCAGGACGCCCCCACGACCCCCAGGAGGGCCCACTCACGTGTGGCGATGGCACAGGGACTCGATGCAGACCAGCACACGCACTGTGTCCCGGGCCCGCAGCCGGGCCCTGCCCTGCAGCTCCCTGGGGTCTGCGGAGACAGGCCAGGTCTGCAGCACCTTCAGGGAGGACGGAGCAGGGGGGGCAGGGGCTGGGGGGCTTCAGGGCACACTGCGGGTTGGGGAGGGTGGGCGTGAGGACCCGTCCAGCCCCCAGGGGAGTCGGGGTGCGAGCAGGAGATGCCTCTGCAATAGGACCTGGGCCTGGGGCACACCCGGAAGGCCAGCCCCCACGCCCCACATGCACCCTGGCCCGGCCCCGCTCACCCACGTGCAGGCTAGCAAAGAATTGGAAGATGGCAGTGACCGGGGCTGTGAACCGACCGGAGGCCAGGCTCAGGCCAGACCCCCGCAGGAAGGCACCCTGGGCAGCGGGCTGAAAGGACAGCAGGGGGGTGCGGGCTACAGAGTCTGAACCCTCACCTTCCACACCCAGCCTGGCGGAGGCGCCTGAGACCAACAGCCCCCAACCCAAAGAGGCCCCAGGTGGGCAAGGCAGAGGGCTGACCCGTGCATCTGCACCCACCCAGGCCTCTGGGCACAGATCGGGGCCCCAAGGACCTCCAGAGGGGAGGGTGTGCCTGCCCCTGACCACCCCGGACCCCACCGCGAGCCTCGGCGGGGCGTGCGTGGGCCCGGGGTCGCCCGGCCCTGCTGGGGCCTGAGCACCCACAGTGGAAGCCCCCGGGCTGCCCCCCACGCCCACTCACGGCCTGGAAGCCCTGCAGCTCCACCAGCGTCCTCTTGTCCACCAGCACCGGGCCCTTCAGCCGACAGTGGAAGGCCTCGGACACCAGCCACCTCCCCGTCCCCTCGGGCAGCGGGGGGCCCAGCGGCGCTGAGGACCGACGCTCGGTAGCCTCTGTGGGGACAGGGTGGAGGGGCGGCTCGGCTCAGCTTGGGGTACCCCCAGGGTGACCTCCTGAGCCTCGGGAGAAGAGTGGGCGGGGGGTGCCTACCCTTCAGCATCCCCTGAAACTCCCGGAGCACAGCCTCCTGGGCCACTTCCGCACCGGGGGGTCCTGGGGGGCCAGGGGAGCCTCGCTGTGGGGGAGCAGGAGAAAATGAGGATAGTGGTGGGACCCACAGCCATCCCCATCCTGGGCTTAGACCCCGGGGCTCACCGACTTCTTGTCCTGGCCTCGGCACCGTTTCTTTGAGGCCCCGTCATCGGGGCGCCGGACGAAGTTCAGCCATGTCATGTGGGCATCTGTGAACTCAGGCCCTGAGGCCTCAGGCAGCTGAAGGGTCAGAGGACAGGGCTAGAGTGCTGACCACCAGGCCCCGCTGGGCCCTGCCCCACTGCCCCCAGGGGAGAACAGGGAACTGCGGGGCCCTGGGCAGACACAAGGAAGATGGCAACGGGGCACCACAGGCCACCCCCAGGACTCAGGCCAGGGCCTGACGTCCAGGAGCCTCGGGTCTGCTGCTGTGTTGCAGCAACCGTTCCCAAGCAGACAGGCACACCCGTGTGCACATGGGGCCGGGCCCCACACGTCCTGACAGGGGCCCAGCCCCGGCTGAGAAAGGCAGTGGTGGGCAGGAGTGAGTTCTCCAGAGCCGTGTGAGGCTGGGGGCAGTGGGCAAGGTCCCGCTCTGTGCTGGGCATCGGGTGTGCCAGCTGGCAGCCCAGGATCGGACCCTGCAAGCCCCCCTCCTACGCCCAGTTTCTGCAGCAGGGCAGCAGGAGAGGCAGGGGCACGCCCAGCCCCAACATCAGAGAACGAGACAGCGTGCCAGGGGAGGGGCATGTGCCGGGAGCTCGGTCCCTCTCTGCGTCCAGGTCTGTGTGCCAGCCTCACACAGAGGTCCCTGAAGTGGCCAGGAGCGCAGCAGACTCTGGTCTGGCAGGAGAGAGCCACTGCCACGAGGCCAGTGGAGCCCTGGCTACTCCTGGAGAGCCGTCCAGGCAGGCACGAAGAGGGGTCCTGGCCAAGGTCCGGTCCAGCGGTCAGCCTCCAGCGCCAAACACGACGAAGGCCCAGGCTCCCAGGGCAGGCCTTTACCCTGGGGAGCTGGGAGGGGCCCGCCAGGGAAGGGAGAGGAGCCAGGAACTTCCGAACGTTCCGGGTCCTCACTTCTGTTGTCCGCCTGTTCCTCTGGCCGCCTCAGACCCGAGCCATGTTGGAGGACCCGGGGTGGGCAGGTGGGGGAGGAGCCCAGCCCCAGCAGGAAGAGCAGGGCTCCTGACGCCTGGGGAGGGCCGTCTTGTGGCAGGGGTGACGTGGCCAGGGACACCCCCCTATCTGCCCCCAGACTGCCCTGCCCTGGCTCTGGAGGGGCAGGCCGGGCAGGAACTGTCCCCAAGGACACCTCCCCCAGGAGCCTGGCTCAAGAGTTTGCATGCCTCTGCCCCAGAACCTGCTGGCAGCCCACTCCCCTGGCAGCAGGGCCCGAGGAGGACTCTCTCCTCAGCCTACCCAGCTGGAAAACGGCGCCTCCGGCTCCAATGGGGCCGTGTGGGCCGAGAGCAGCCGGGGTGGCCGCCAAGGAGACGCCCTCGGGAGGCGGGAGGCCAGGATCAAAGGCTCGAGGGCTGGCAGGGGGCCTGGCCCAGCAACTGCCGCTTCACTCCAGCGGCCACCAGGCCTGCGCTGCTGGGGTCAGCTCTAAGATCCCTTCAGGGAGCCCCAGCCCAAGAGGGTGGAACCCTAGGGCTGAGGCAGGTACAAGAAGCTCCTCTCAGAGGGCCGGGGGCCTCCCAGGCCTGGAGCACGTCCCATGCCAGAGGCCGTAAGGGGTGCTGGCTGCCCAGCAGCGCGTCAGGCAGAGGCTAGCCTTGGCCTCACCGGCGGCGGGAGTTGGGGCACCCCGGGTTGCAGCAGGGGCTCTGAACTGGCTGCCCAAAGCACCTCCCCCATTTGCAGTCACACCGAATGGCAGCAGGTTGCTCAGGGCATGATGGTCCCTGGGGCTTCAAAGGGTTCAATGTAGCCCACTGGGAAGCCCCTCCACGTCCCCACCCCTCCCCAGGCCCAGAGAGGGTCCTCGAGGCCGGCCCGATCCACACTGCTCCCCGACGGGGAGGGGAGGCCTGGAGAGTCCAGCGGGCAGAGCCTGCAGGTGGGAGGAAGGCGCCCACGTAAGCCCAGACCCTGCATACCTTGGGGAAGCCCAGTAGCCCCTCGCTGCTGGACGTGGTGGCGTTGGGGGCTGCGGGGTGCTGGCCGGGCTTCCGTGGCCTCTTGGGCTCCCGCCGGGCCCTCACGCCCCCATGGAGCGTGAGCTGTGGCCAGAGGAGGGCCGCGGCGGCCGCCCAGACCCAGCGCATGTTGGCTGCCGGGTCGGCTGCGGCGGCTCAGTGATGTGAGCCCAGGTGCCTGAAGGCACTCAGAGCCCCGGCGCGGGAGCACAGCCCGGAGGGCTGCCCGGCCACCACTGTTGCATGTCTGCGCGGGATGAGCCGGGCTAGCAAGGGAAGCGGGAGGACACACCCCTGTCCCCCCAGGTTCCCTCGTGAGCAGTGCCCTTGCCGCCCCGCGCTGCCGCCAAATAAACCCTCCCCTCCTCCCCAGAGCTGGCGGACTCCAAGGGGGAGGGCTCACCGGTGACCCGGGGCGATGATGGGGGCGGAACCCACACTGCTACTGCCCAAGGGGCGAGGCTGCCTCCACCCGGCCCCTTCAGGGCGGGGCCCCGAAGCCACGGGCGGGACGCACTCCATCACAGCCCCTCAGCCGCCTCGTACAACCCCGCTCCTCACCACCTCTCCCGGATCCTGACCCCTCTGGCTCCGCTGCAGGGCCCCCACCCTAGGGTCCTGGTGCTGCCACAGGCACTGGCCCCACTCCCGGGAAGAGCAGGGTCTGGAAGCAGGACAGCTGACCCACTGGGCTCCCAGCCTGTCCCAGCCTTGGTGACCTGGGGTGAGCGGGGCCAGCAGGGGAGACTGGTTGACCTCGGAGGAAAGCTGTGGCACATAGCTGCCCCAAAGCCCTTCTGCCCCCTCCTCTTCTTGGGGCACAGGGCACACCCTTACTGAGGGGCTGCCCTCAATTCAGCCGGGCCCCTTGGGCTCTCCAGTCCCCAGGACTGTTCCCCCAGTAGCTGTGCACAGCCAGACGAGCCAGCAGAGGAGAGCAAGTGACAGTGGGCGGGTCCCCAGGGGGAGCTGGGGCCCTTCCTCACCTCTGGGCTGCAGGCAGCAAGACGGCTGTAGCCAGGTGGCACCCACAGGCTCCAGTGGAGGCCCGGGTGGAGGCTCGATGCCTAAGGCAGGACCCCCATGGCCAGCCACCCCTCGGCTGGTGCAGCCCGGGGCTACGGGCCGTCAGAGCTGTGGCTGGCCGTCAAGGACCTGCTGCCTGCAGCCCAGCCTTGAGGAAGGTGGCACAGCTCACTACCCTGGAGGGCAGCACAGGGGACCCTCCAGACACCCCCCCCCCGCAACGGGCAGACTCCAGGAGGAACAACGGGGAAGGAGACCCCGGCCCCAGGCCATGTCCACAGTCGGCAGCTACAGGCAGAGCCGCCCCAGACACAAGCTGGGGGGGGACAACGTGAGGAGCATCTGCCCGAGGACACCTGGCCCCTCCCTCCTGGCTCAGGTGGAGGTGCTCACCTCCCAGGACGGCAGCGGCCGGCCCCAGTGACTCCTGGACTCACTGTGGGGGTCGAGTGTCCGGGTGCTGAGCCCAGGTCTCAAGGAGGTCATGGTACAGAAGGCTGCGCTGCGCCATCCCCGCTGGGACCCTCCACGTGACCTGCGGCCAGCAGCCGGCCAGGGGGCTGCCACACAGACCTCTCCTCTCCCAGGCTGGGCACCTGTGTCCTGCTGGCCTGGGCCACGTGGACATGGCACTTGTGCCAGGCTCCGGCACCAGCCCGTGGGTCCTGTGGGTCCCAGCTCCCCCAGTGAGGCTGGGCCAAAGGGAGCCTGCTCGAGGCATCCACGCCTCCCAGCCACAGCCACCGACTGCCCGTGGGGAGGCTCAGGCCAGCTGCCCGCGACCCGACCATGGACACACCGCCTCTGCAGGGGAGGACGGGACCTCGGAGCCCCGGCACAGCCCTCAGCAGGCCGTCTGCCCGCCGCCCGGGTGGGGCCGCGACAGCCTCTCAGGCTGAGACCTCCGAGCTGCGCCTGCCAGGTGACACCCCAAACCTGGGCCTGGGAGAACCTTCTGAGGGAGAGACACAGGCCCAACAGGACAAGGTCATCTTTTATTCGGGGGTCACATCAGACAGCAAGCTGCCACAGGCGCCAGGGGGAGCCTCTGTACAGCACAGATCTGCTCCCACCGCTGACTGAAGTTTTTAAAAGTTGAGATTTCACACACAGAAAAGAAAAAACACTTGTCAAGTAATTTCTATTTCCCAAACGTTCCTCCTTCGAAGAACCTCAGGAAACGCGGAGCGTCTGGAAGGGGCACCAACCTCCACAGACGCACCCTCGGGCCAGCAGTGGACGGAGGGAGGCCTGGCAAAGCCGCACCCATCGGGGTCCGGGCCCAGCAGCACAGCACCACCCCGCCACCGGGGTCCACCGTGGGTCGCAGGACACCCAGCTGCCCACGGGCTACCCAGTGCTGGGCGGAGAGGAACTTGTAGTATACAGACCCCAAGAGCACAAAACTTAGGAACAAAGACAAAATGAAAGACTCTTTTTCACAAGAGCGGGTTGAATACACACAAGCAGTAAATCAAAGAGCAATTTTAAATAAATTGATCAAAAAACAAAGAACGTGAAAGATGCACCAACACCGGGCTGCACGCGGCTTCCCTGCCGGCCTCTGGAGTGAGGTCACAGGTTGTCGTGTGGTGGCGCCCGGACACGGCGCCTTCCAAACACCGTGCAGGATGTCATTAGCAGAGACGAGAACAGGGAGACGTCGGCGATCCAGGAGGCGCAGGCCCCAGGTCTGAGACGGCACCCACCAGCGCTGCCCCTGAACCCGGGTGTCCTTCCCGGGCGGCCAGCCTCTAGGAACCGGCCACAGATCCGCTGTGAAAGGGAATGTGTGAGCCTGTCTCCAGGGCAAACCAAAGAGCTGGACCACGTGTGCGGGAAGCCCCACGTGTGCAGAGCCTGTCCGGCGGGTGGGACCCAGGGGCCCGCTGGGGGGGTCTCCTCCTTCCATTAGCGCAGCCAGTGGGAGCCCGCAGGAAGCCATGGGGGTGAGAGAAAGCCGGCAGCGCGACCGCGCAGGACGCACAGCTCAGCCCCGGTGACAGCCTGTGGTCAGAAAGGAAGCAGATTCTCAACTTCAGCAAAACAGAGCACACGTGCTTTTTCCCAGGAGGAACCTGCTTCATTCTAAGTAAACACAAATGCCAAAGCCCAATCCCCTGACCCACCCATGGCTGTCCCCAGCCAGCGGGCCCCGGGCCACCCTGCCAGGCCCCCAGCCACCCTGCCAGGCCCCCGGCACTGCCTGCCGAGTCAGAGCTCCACACTAAGAACGCACGCAGAGTGTTGGATAGGCATCAAGTTTTATACTTTTAAGTGACCAAATCTAATAAAATGAAAAACAGGTTACTAAAATAGGTCCAAAAGACAATACAGGAGATAAGCTATAAAACCAAAGCGTGAGGCCCTCTCGCGGACATGGAGCCTCCCAGCCCCCAACGGACGCCAGGGCAGAATGAGGCCGGGAGTCTCACGTCTCCAAATCCAACTACACACTTTGGTTTGTGTTTTCCTTTTGAAGGTTTTTAAAAAGCTAACCCCAGGAGTCAGGCAGGCCCGCCCAGTGCTCGGCGGCACATCCAGCCAGCCCACGTCGAGTTCGGGCCCAGCGTCCCTCGTTTCCGACCACCTCTGCTGGTCGTGGCGGCGGCTCACTCCTGCGCTATGCTTCTCAGCACGTACTTGACCGTGTAGGCGAAGGCTGCAAACCCAACTATAACAAACAAGTTCGCCAGGGCACCGCCCAGGAGTCCGTGGTGCCGGTTGGCCTGCTGGAGCCCCGCGAGGTGCGGCCCAGCGCCCGGCGCGTGCCCGTTGAGGAGCGGAAGCCCGTTCTGGCCGTGGTGCATCTCCCCGTCTGGAACCACGTCTGGTAAGGGGAGAGCCTGGGGTCTGCTACTGAGTTCGTCTTGTGCTCTCTGTTTTTGCTTAATTTCCTAAGACAAAAACAGCAAGAAACAAGGGTTGGTTGAAACAAGCCAGCTCCTTCAGGGCTAGGGAGGGGACTGCGGTTTACCACAGAGACCCTGCAGGGTCGGCGGGCAATGGCTGCACGTTTCATCCTGACAACTGCCCTCGGAGGCAGTGCCGCTGCTAATCCTGTTTAACAGATGTGGAGGCCACATGACTTGCCAAAACCGCCAAGCCTACGCCTCACGAGCTAGGACTGAGCCAGGTCCGAGCTACTCTGAACCACCAGGGCCCCGACTTCCGTGTGGCTCAGCCTCCCGTTCATGGCCAGGTTGTCTGCTCTGGCACCAAGACCAGCAAGCATCCCTGCCCCTCACCCCTGGCCCCCCAGGACCTCGACAGGCCCAGCGGCCTTCCCCCGACTTCTCCCCGTCTCCAACCCACCATCCAACCCCCAGACCCCGGAGGAGAGGGTCAGGTCTTTGCACCCAAACACCCACCCTACTCCCGGTCTGCAGTACAGGAGCACACAGGAGCACATGTTCTCTGTGGAAAGTATTGAATCAAAGTGTCCCTGACATGGGGAAAGCAAAACTAATGGCCAACTTTCACTTTCTTACCTCCACGACTTCGGGAAACAATTCACAAAACACTTTGTCTTTTAAATTAAACACTAAACTTTGTGCAGCCAGTTGTCTTTTCTAGGAAGAGAAAAGAAGAAATATCAGCCCGAAGGCTAATTTCAATTCTTTCACATCTAAACACACACTGACAGGCAGTGGAGGGCTGCTGCCTTCTTGGTGTGGAAAGGACTCCACAGGCGTGCTCCTCGTGACAAGCTGGCTGCGGTCTCCTAAGGCTGTGTACCTTCCTGCACCATCCACGGGTGATGCTAGGCCTGACCCCTACTTAAAACGGGAGAGAAATGAAAGCCCGGTACCAAGGAGTCGCTGTCCTGACTGGGTACAGCAGCTGTGGAGACCAACCGCACTGCCCCCCTCCCACCCCCAGCTCACTGTGAAGTCCGAAGTCTCAATGCTGCCCAGGGTGGGGCCCTTCTCCACCATGAAGCTCAGGAGCCCCGTCAGGATGGTGGAGACGGACCAGGCCGGGTTCCACGTGTCTGGGTGGAAATCCGTGATGGAAAGACACAGCCTGAAGAAAGGGACCCAGTCAGTGGGGTACGCACTCCTCAGGACGCCAGTCCCACTTCAGAAGCACCCTGGACGCCTTACCTTGTGTTGCACTTAAATCTTCCATTGGGAGTTATCATATAAATACTAGGAGGTTTAAAAGGAAATTCTCTGGGAAAAATTAGTTTTCCATGATAATAGCCACCTGTATCAGAACAGAGAAGGAGCCTTGTCATTGTTCAGAGCGCGACAGGCCCTCACTGCCCTCAGGGTCCCAGCCCGGCCCAGCTAGGTCTCCCCACCCGCTACCCACCAGCCAACCATCCCTGGAGCACACACATCTCACTGGGGCTCACGACCACCAACCTAGGGGGGGCCCTTACCCCCACTGCCGACTACACGTCCCTCCTCCACCCTCGCGTGCCCCCCTCCCCGAGAGCAGAGCATCAGGACAGAACCTCCAGGCTCCTCGCTGGCCCCACGTCCACCCCCGCGAGTGGCAGCTCTTCCGGTCCCCTCACTGCTGCTCCACCTGCCTCTCCTCCACCAGACCACACCCAGCAGCAGGCAAATGCACCATCATTTCCCCCCCTTAAAAACAAGTAAACAACAAAACTCTAACCCCCCCCCACCGCTCCCCTCCAAGCCCTGCCAGATGCTCCGTCTCCTTTATGTAAAATTCCTGACCTTGAAGTCACCAGACATCCCCGCTGGGCCACGTGACCCCATCTCAGGCCTCACAACCATTCCTCAAGGCCCGACCGGAGCCCGGCTCCTTCTGGCATTCTCCCGGAACCTCCGGACCCTCCCCCACTCCGGACCTGTGTACTGACCGTCCCGGCAACACTGCCCCAGACGGGTACAAGATGGAATTCCTGCTTCTTCCCTCAAGCAGCAGCTCCGTCCTCTTAGTTATTCAGACTAAACTCTGGGGGGCCCCTGCTCCCGTATCACACCTACTCCATCAGCAAATCCCAGCGGCCCCACCTTCCCACAGATGCAGCCCCCAAAGCTTGGAGTGACCTCACCGGGCCCCTGGCTTCCATCCCTGCCCACCCAGCTCCAGGTCCCACCATCCCGTCCCCACTGGAGGCCTCACCCCCTTGCTCTCAGGGTAGCACCTGGGAGCCTGTTGGAAATGCAGAGCCTTGGGCCCACCCACACCGGCGGGGCAGAACGTGAGTTTCACAGGATTCCCAGAGACGTGTGCGTGTCTGTGCATGTGTGCATGTACAGCGAGGCTTGGGGTAGCTGCCCTGTCCTCCCACTGGAACTCCCAGCTGTCCCCCCAGCCCTGCAGGTCTCCGCTCCAGCACCCCACCAGGGGAAGGCCTCCCACCGCCTTGTACGGCTGCAGCATCCCAGCTACCTGGTGTGCTCTCGCTTCCACTCCCACTGTCGGGGGGTGGAGGGGTGACTGAGACCAGTGTCACCTGTGAGGACAGCTCAGCACACAGACAAGCCCACCAGCAAGGGACTAACTCTAGAAGCGATGCTGAAGCACACCTGCAACCCACAAGTACTGAGAAAAGCCCAAATGGAAAAGGCGCAGGAGATGGGAACAGGCGCTCGGCCCAGAGAAGACCATGGTGGCGCGGTCGTGACGGGAAGCAGTGGGCTCACACCACAGGGACACTGTCCGTCTCGCTCAGTCGGGGGCGGGGGGTGGGGGTGGCGACCCCGCCTGGCTGATCCAGAGGGGACCCGCCGGCACCACCCGCCAGTCCCCAGAGGGAAGGGCTGCGGGCGCGGCAGAGCACAGCGAGGGGCTCAGGCAGAGCCGTGAGCAGGGTCCACGGTGGCGGGGCCTGCAGTTCTCCTTGCACCCAGGCGCACACTCCCAACCTCAGAGGGTCCGTCCCGGGCCAGGAGGTGCATCCAAGGGCGTGAAAGGCCCCTGGGCCTCTCCTCCGGCTTCATTCCAAGTGTCCGCGGGCACTGAGCCCCGGGACAGACAGACAAGACTGTGAGCACGGGGCCGGGAGGAGGCCTAGGAGAACCGCGCCTCCGGCCCCGCCCCGCTGACAGAGAAGCTGTTCGGGGCGATCCCTGGGCCCTGCTCCACCCCGGGACCCGCCCCGGCCACACCATCCGGTCCACACAACGACACCGCAGAGTCTCAGAACCAGGCACGGTGACTCCCCCAGTTTTATGATTTTAAAAAACTATGTTAGCTATTCTAGGTCCTTCGCCTTTCCGTAAGTTTTAGAAGCAGTTTTTGAATAAGCCTGTGCTCACCTACAAAAACCTCTGTTAGGGTTTTAATGGGATGCTGTAAAACCTCTAGACACAGATCAACACTCGTGTACTACCGGGAAGCCCACCTGAACTGTGAAACTACTGTCACAGTTTTGGCACCGACAGAGCCCAGAGCAAGGACCAGGTCAGCGGGCAACCGACACGGAGCCAGACAGACGTGGACGTGGGAGGGAAGGGTCAGAGCGTCCGGAAGTCAGAGGAGCAAAGGAGGAGGGAGCCAGAGTCCACACATCAGAGTCCACACAGGCCCAGACCCTGAGGCCTGAGAGCCATCCACCAGATGCGGCGATTCTGAGGGTCCCTCCGAGACCCTGATGGGAACAGAGTCAGCAGAGGATGGCACTGCAGACAGCAGAGCCCTGAGCTGAGGAGGGGACAGGCATCAGGAGAGGGCACAACAGCAGGTGCTGAGGGGAGAAGGGCAGCGTGTGGGCGGGGTGCAGCGGAGGAGGGGGAGGGCAGCAGGAAAAGCTTTGGCCTCCGAAGGAAAGCTTTACAAGGAGGATGAGGACTTTCCCAGCCTGAAGACCGGGAACAGCAGGGACACACAGGAGAACAGATGGGGCAAATGAGAGCAACAGTGACAAGGTTGGGTCTGGAAAAGGAGAGCCTTTCATCCAGCTCAGAGGGGCTGGGTGGGCGGGGGTCTCCTGCAGTCCCAGCCGCCACACCGCTCGCTCGGGGCTGCCCTCTCCTCTCCCTGCCACCTCTACCCTCTGCCCAGGTGTCAGCCTCACTTACGCCACCAACAGTTCTGGCTGGTCCTGGGCGCAGTGTGTGTGGGGCTCTCGTCACATAATTAGTGAGCAGTGTTCTCTACTGTACGTTAAACACTAAAAGCACAAAGAATAAGAAAACTCTGACACCAGGCCTAACCCTACTCGCGAGAGAACACTGCTCGTTCTCGGTGTCTGTCCAAGTTCGCTAAAAACGTATCGTGTGTTTCTAAGCGTTTTAACATGAGCTGTGCAAGCTGTTCTGCGGCCTGTCTTCGCCCTTTCTCCTGGAGCCCCACGCGAGGCCGTCACCGAGCCCGGTACCCTGCGGTCATGACACGCCCACCCTATAGATACGCTTCTGCACACTGTTTCCCCAGGGCAGGTCATCCCCCAACAGGGATTCCTGGGCCACAAGAGTCCCACGAGGCTAGTGACTTGTCTGCCCAACTACCCACAACACTCCTGGGCGTCCAGAGCACCCACACTTCCTCCCCAGTAGCACGGGTCCTCTAGTGGAATCGAATGCACAAGCCCCCAGTAGGAAGACACAAGTGTGCTGCTCCGGCCACCCGAAATCAGACCCAGGGACTAGAGTGCCCACTCGGCCACGGCTCTGTCCCAGGCTCCACCACCTGGAGGCTGGCGCCAGGCTCCCCTCAGGCCCCTGGAGGCTCACTGACCGACAGCTCCGAGATCTGTCTGCAAACACCAGAGGATGCTGGGTAGCATCACCTGACCACGGCAGGCCCTGCGGCCCCTACACCTCAGGGTCCTACCCGCACAGGGGCCCGCCCCTCAGCTCAGAGGACTCAGCACAGAGTGAGCGCTCAGAAAACGGCCTTTCTTTCCTTCAACAATACACGTTAGTCTTACTTTTCCCCCGTCTGTTCTCTCAGCTCTGATCCCACTGACGTCAGAGGCTGGGTAAATTCGATAGTCACAGCAGCCCCTGAAGACAGAGACACATGGGCAAAACCAAACCGAGCAAACCCCTCTATGACTTGCAGGAAACCAGAAGGGGCTCCACACGCGTGCGGTCCACCTCACGCACATCCAAACCAGAAACAGTGTTATTTACAAATAGAAGGTGTTTCTCTGGCAAGGGCAGCTCTGAACACAGACGCCGCCACTTGTTCCTCTAACTCAGGGCAAAGACTTACCTTCGTAGGGAGTCATCTCAGGGCCTCGGACCACATAGTGCCTGAGGGAGGGAAGAAAATGAGTTGGCTTTGGGGACGGCAAGTTCTCCAAAGTCTGAGTCACTCCAAGGCCGGGGTTTTTAGCGCCCACCCGCAACTAGACGTTCACAGACGCTCAGTAGGGGAGCTGAAGGGTGAACCCGACCAGCTACCCAGCTCCCAGCTCTGCAGCTTCTCCAGCTGCTGGCACGTTAGCCGCTCTGTAACGGGATCAGAGAGGCTATGTCTCCCAAGTTTTCCACAGAGTACTTCTGTATCCACAACACAATATGCAAAAAGCTAATCCTCTCTGTCAACTGACGATTTAAAAGTTAACTTCACGGGCTTCCCTGGTGGCGCAGTGGTTAAGAGTCCACCTGCCATGCAGGGGACGCGGG